AGTGAAATGGGGTTAATAAGTGAGAGGCTGGATTTTATGAAGTGAGGGGCATAGAATTAGTGGGAGCCATTTGTAAGAGACTTAAAATACTGATCACTTAGTACTTTCAAATAGTAAACTACTTGATAGTTTATAAAAGAAGGAAATTCATTTGCACAAAGTAACTAAAAGAAAAAGGGCTTTGACAGTGTTGGCTGCCCTCGTAATACCCACTCGGCTTACCCAGCTAAGGGTCAATTGTTCACCTTTCAAGTACAAAATTTGAGGGAGTCAATGAGTTTTAGCTAATAATTGGAATTCTTCTTGCATCCTGGTGACCAGAATGGAGTTTCTTCCTTCCTTGATGTCTTAGTTACTCCTCACTCATTTCTGGGACAAAATACCCGACACCCAATATTAAAGAAGGAAAGGTTTATTTAGCTCACAGTGGGGGCTTCGGTCTATACTCGGCTGGCCCCAAGGCAGAAGGGCACACGGCAGAGGCAGCTGTTCGTGGCTGCAGGAAGCAGCAGCAAGCAAAGGGAGGGGCAGCACCCGAGGCTGCTGGAGCGCCCCTCTCCTCTCCTCTCCTCTCCTCTCCTCTCCTCTCCTCTCCTTATATTGTGATGCAGATTATCTGCGCCAGGGTGGGCCTAGTGCTCACACCCATAATCCCAGCATTGAAGCAAGAATTAATCACAACCTTTAGAGGCTGCCCAGGACGCTGGAGGCTTTGGGGGGACACCTAGACACGAGCCATAACACCTGAATTCAGGAAATGCAGGGAGGTGTTGGCACGGTGGGAGGTGGGGTGGTAGTTCTTCTTCGCTCGCTCCTGGGCAGCGGACACTGGGAAGAACGGCTTTGCCAGCTAATGTGTAATGTTTAGCTCTGTCTAGAAACTAATTTCTTGGCATAATGGACTGCTCACATAATTAAAAGGCTTTACAACCTCTGGTGAGTCTGAAGTTCCCAAAGTGTTCGGGTCAAAGACACAGGCTAAATTTAATATCACTATGGCGAAGCACATGCGTGGAGAACATAGCCAACTATCTGTGTGACGTTTTAGGAAGTGTTTGGAAGCTTCTTCAAATGACAGAGCTTCTAATGGCTGATTTATTCTAGAACTTGTGTTGTAGGACCTGCATTGGCTACTCTGTTGGACTTCGCAAGCGCAGAGTTAAACTGTACAGTTAAGTGATAGGAAGGGAACTAACACTTCTCGCAGACGTGTGAAGTGTGAAACACCGTCCTGACGCCTCACTTTGCATCTCATGAGATTGGTGTTGTTATTTCACAGCAAACAGAGGGGAACTGTGAGGTTAAGTAACTTGCTGGGGGATTCGAGACAGGGAAGGGGTTCGTGTTACCATCTGAGGCGTTCACCCAGGCCCAAAGTCCCTTCGAAATGACACCTGCCCAGCGCTTGGCAGATGTGACTCAGTGTAGTTACTCTGTTATTTATTGTCCTTATGTAGCAGAAAGTGCCCCCTGCCCCCGCCCGCCCCAGCATGCTTCAGGTTGTTAGCTGCCCAGGTAGTACTTCCTGTTCCAGTTCTGGTTGCTTCTGTCTCTTAGAAATAGGGCTGGTCACTGTGATGGACACTGTCCAGTCCCCAGATGACAAGCCATACTTCCTGCTTGCTTATTTCATATCAGCCCTGGACCACCAGAGAGAGATCAGGACCTGCAGTTCTGGGAATGATCCCAGTCGGTGCCTGTTGACATACATAGATCTGCCTCCAAATCCTGGGTGCTGTTTGGATGTTTCTGCCTACCCTTGCAATTTTAGATGCCAGTTTCAAGTCATAAGTCTATAGTTTTGGGCTTTGTAGAAGTGTGTGTGTGTGTGTGTGTGTGTGCGCGCATTTTTAAAGGAGCGCTCCTGAAATGCCTTTTCTTTCAGCTGTTACATCTGCTGTGATCAACTGGGGTCCGGTCGTATGTGAGCTCGTAGAACATGGGTCCCGGCCTTCAGCCTCTGACCTCTGTACTACCTGGCCCCACAAACACAAAGGCAGCCTTAACCGTTCTGGGGTCTCCTTGATTTAGCTCTAAGTCCCTTCTGGTATGCGTTACTGTGACTCATTGAGATACATATCTTTTGAGATATGTATCTTTATAAAAAAATTTTAAAACTCCAGCTCTCTAGACCAAGTGTTTCCTTTCAAAAACAGAATAGAAATGAGAGGAATCTAGAAACTCTATGCCCCTTGCTCTGTCTTATTTCTGAAGGATCTGATATGAAGCTGCCCTGGCAAATCGGAAGATGAGATACTAGATGTTTCTCCCATCCTCTCAGCATCTTCAGTGCTGAGCTACTCCAGGCGGTTGGCACCTCGTAACCCTGGACCGGCTGCTTTCTGGGCCGGCACTGCCTGCTTTGCCAGCTTCTGGTAGAGCTCATTTTCACTTCCTAAATGGAACCTTCTTGTCCGAACAAGTTTTACGGGACTTGACCTTCGGCGCGTTGCTCAGCTCTATGAATTCAGCTGGGTAGAATTTCCTGATGGTAAGAGAAGGGTGCTGCCAAGAAGATTAAGTAACTTATGGAATATGTGCAGAATTGGGTAGGCCTGACCCCTAGGAGACGTTGTGATTTAATTTTTAACTTAAAAACTTTCGTGAGTACTTGTTTGCTGCATGTCATGATGGTGGTCCTGGCGGGCAGTTAGTACCCGGACAGAGCACACTTCTGCCTGCTTCACCCCTGGGTGCAGCTTGGTCTTCCCCAGCAGCCAGGCTCCTTTCCAGGGCTCCAGTGCAGCCTGTCAGCCGGCCTGGTCCCTGCTGGAGCCGCACAGGTCAGGTAGCTAAAAGCAGGGTATTTACTGTCTTCTGTGTTTGAAAACCAAACTAGACTGAGAGACATTCTTCTACTCTTGATTATGTATGTTCACTTCCTACCTGGAAAAGAATCACAGCTGGGTTTAAAACAAAGAACAGAATGCAGCTTTCTATTGGTTTCAGAAAACCCATTTTAGAGCTTAGATTCCAGGGTTGTAAACCAGCAGGTCCTGACATCTCTGGGCATTGCTGTGTAGAGTTTCACACTGTGGGTGTCAGGGCAGCGTCCCCTGCCCTGCGCACGGTGTGGATGTGCGCTCCCCACACTGGCCCTGTGCCCTCCAGGTGTGGCAACGTGGAGAAGACCCTACTCCAGATCTGTCAGGTTTCCTGTTGCTGTCCTCAGCTGCACGGACCAAAATGTATCTTAAATGCTCAGCTGAAGTTATCTTTCATATGAATAGTTTATGCATACTGGCTGATTAAGAATTCAGTATTGGATTCATCAGCTAAAATGTAAAATAGCAATGGTTATTTCTTTTTATTTTTCTTTGTTGCTTTCTAATGAAAGCATTTTATGATATCTCTTTGCTCCTCCTTTTGAGGAGAGAAATAAACAGTTGAATAGAACCCCTCATCTAAAGTGGAACATGACCGGAGGACAGTTAGGTATTTTTTTGTTTTTTAAAGACATGGAAGGAAAATTCTTTCTTGGATGACTTAAGGAAGACCTTCCTTGAAAAGAGAAACAGTGCTTTCCAGCCAGCTTCTGGTCTGTTGGTATTTTCTCTAGCCAGCTGTCAAAGTCACACACGTGGTGCTTTCTACCCAGCATCTGATTGTTAAGTCAGGTGAATGTGGGTCATCTCACACCCACGAGTCAGGATCCTGAGGAGGGTACCGAATAAGCAGCGTGTTTTCTGTTCAGGAGGGTGATGGCTGGCTGAGGAGGAAGTGTCCTGATTTGGCCTGGAGCCAGCTGGCCTCTCACCTGGACTTTCCGTGCACAGTGAGGGACCAGCAAGGGACTGTACCTCTGCCGCACTCTTCTTCCTTGCGAGGGCTGACAGGGCTCGTGGAATATGACTCGGGCCGTGCATCAGCCACGAGGAGCCACCAGGTTTGCTTAAGACCGCATTTCTGTGGAGTTAATGCCACGAGAGAGATACTGGAAGGAGCAAACATTTAGCTTCGGCCGTGGTTCTGGATTAAACTTAGCATTTGTATTTGCCTGGATCAGTATTTTGGTGTGCGGAAAACAACTGAGGCTTCGGATACAACCAGTGATCTCTTCTGCCAGGCTGAAAGCAGCAGAACAGGGTCTCAGAGGCACGCGGAGGCTTGGCTCCATGGTGCAGCGGTCCGAGGCCACAGCGGTGGGTCTGCCACGCCGTGGCTGATTCCTTTGACTTTGAGTCGGGAAGCCCTTTCATGCCCTCTGGAAGCTTGTTGAAGCTGGGGACACCTTATCATAAAGCAGGGAATCCAAATGGAAAGCTCACGAAATGCAGCGGAGAAACTGCATCCCATGGCTGCTCCTGCCAGGGAGCGAGGCAGGGCAGGCTGGAGGTTGGAGGTGGGCTGGCCTGTAGTCCACCCACGAGCAGTGGAATTTGAACAGAGATCGCAGCCCGAGGTGGTTCGCTGGAAGTTGGTGATTGTGTTGTGCAGTTTCCGCTGAGTGACGGTTTCAGATACAGAGCTTTTCCCTAGCTGCTGTGTAGACCGCAGGTGGCTGTCACTGCTGTGTCCTGCATGAGTGTCCTGCGTGGAGCTCCATCAGATCCAGGGAGGCAGACCGCAGGTGCTGGGCCACCTTGTGCCTGCGCCCGCAGCGTAATCGCCCATGCTTTATTTTGGCTTTTCAGTCTATCCAGGTGCTACCCTGAAGTTTTGCAGCCTTGTTCTTGTTTATCCTTCTATGGTTTTCCTTCTCCTTTTTTTCTCTGTACTGGGGATTGGGCCCAGGGTCTTGCATTGAACCACACTCACCCCCCTCTTTAAAAACTACTCAATTTTGAGACAGTCTCCCCAAGCTGCCCAGGTTGGCCTCACATTTGCAGTCCTCCAGCCTCAGCCTCCGGAGTGGCTGGGACTGCAGACACAGGCCACGCTGCCGAGCTCGCGGTTGTTGGGTGCCTGATAGTGGCAGAGTGAGTGGCAGCCACATGCGGTGTGCCCATCCCCGCTGACCAGCAGTAACCCACCGTGTCTTCTTTTCTGCTCACTTGTAGAACGCTACAATGGGAGGCAAGCTCAGCAAGAAGAAGAAGGGCTACAATGTGAACGACGACAAGGCCAAGGACAAGGACAAGAAAGCTGAGGGCGCAGGTGCCGAGGAGGAGGGGACCCCGAAGGAGAGCGCGCCCCCTGCAGCGGCGGCCAACGGTGCCGAGTCCCAGGAGCCGGAGAAGCCTGACAAGGACAAGGAGAAGGAGGTCGAGAAGGACGCCGAGGGCAAGGCTGAGGCCAAGGAGGGTGACCCGGCGGCAGCGGCTGCGCCCAAGGAGGAGGCGCCCAAGGCTGAGCCTGAAAAGAGCAGTGAGGGCACCGCTGAGGGGCAAGCGGAGCCTGGGGCCGCGGCAGCTGAGCAGGAGCCCGCCGAGCCCGGGCCCGCTGCGGGCGGCGAGGCCCCCAAGGCAGCCGAGGCAGGCGCCCCTGAGAGCCAAGAGGAAGGGGAACCCAAAAAGACTGAGGCTCCCGCCACCCAGGAGACGAAAAGTGACGGGGCCCCGGCTTCAGACTCAAAACCCAGCAGCGCTGAGGCTGCCCCCTCCTCCAAGGAGCCCCCCGCAGCCACGGAAGCGCCCAGTTCCACGGCCAAGGTCCCCGCAGAGGAGCCGAAGGCCACCGAGGTCCCTGCAGCCAAGCCTGACCAAACCGTAGCGGTGAAAGAGTGACCGGACAGCCTGGAAACACCACTGAGAAACAATCTCTCTCTCTCTCTCTCTCTCTCTCTCTCTCTCTCCTTCTCTCTCTCCCTCTTCCTCTTTCCTTTCTTCACTTTCCTTTCTCTTCTCTCTTCTCTGCTTACTAACTGGTTTCCAATCGGAAGCAAGGATGTGTATTGCCCAAGGGGGGAATTAAAAGGATGCTGACCCATCGAGGGAGGGAGGGAGGGCGGGGGTGGGGAGAATCCAAATAGTATTTTTGTGGGGAAATATCTAATATACCTTCAGTCTCCTTGATCACCAAGACCTGGATTGGAAAGATCAGCGTGGAAGCGCCGAGTCCGGCCTGCTCCATCCCGAGGCCTGGCCGGCCCTTCTGGGCCGTGGGGAGGGGTGGGCGGATGGATGGCCTCTGCCCGCAGGGCCTGTGCCCACGCACTCGAGATCTTTACGAAAGCAGTATTTTCTGTGTTCTCCTTTTTAATTTACAGCCTTTCTTATTTTGATATTTTTTTAATGTTGTGGATGAATGCCAACTTTCAGACGGAGCCCGCCTAGCCTGTCCAACCCTCCATTCTTCCTCTCCAGATATTTTTGGGAGCAAACGAGCATTCTCTCATCGTACTTAGCCTACCTAGATTTCTCATGACGAGTTAATGCATGTCTGTGGTTGGGTGCACCTGTAGTTCTGTTTATTGGTCAGTGGAATTGAAAAAAGTCTGCGTTCATTGCAGTTCACTTTCTCTTCATTCTGTGTCATAGACACCAACACACCACTCATTGGAAAATGGAAAAAATAAAATAAAAATACAAAAAAATGTACAATGGATGCATTGAAATTATATGTAATTGTATAAATGGTGCAACAGTAATAAAGTAAAATAATTAAAAAAGTAACACAGACTGGGTTTTCTTTTCTGCCGCCCCTCCTTGCCCGCCCACAGCCTTGGTCAGTCCACCATCAGCAGATAGCAGGACGCTGAGTTGGGTGTTTTTCGTTCCTGAGTACATGTGGAGGAGGGTAGGAGACGGGAGCCTCAAAGCTTGTGAGCAGGATATTTAGAAAATACCCGCTTGCTTGGGCCAGCAGGTTATCTCAGTGATGAGGCCACATGAAAAGTGTCCTGAACACAACACATTGAAGGGCCGCGACTAGCTTGGATCATGGACGATGGTGGCCAGATCCTACGGGACTGTACCACGTGTGCCAGTTGGGAAGCCCCTGGCGGGTGGTTTTCCTGCCCTCTCTTCGCCACTTTAATTTTGCCATATTCGTGACAGCCAGGAAGGGGACCTGAGTGTTGGGCAGGTGATGGGATAACAGCCCAATGAAAGCAGGCGGCCAGTGGCCTCTGGGGACGAGACTACTGCCCGGGCTCTGCAGCAGATGACTTGTGTGGCTGTGCAGCACCTCTAGCCCCTCCAGACTGCCCTCCCTCAGCCAACTACTCACAGCATTTCTGATCCTCAAGGCAAGGCTCTGTAAGCTTCTGAATACAGCACAGTGTTGGGCATGAGGAGACACGACGCCCCCAGCCCCCTGCCCTGGGGTGCAGAGCATCGCGGGTGCCCAGCACCCCTGGGGCAGCCTGGAGGGAGAGCGGTGGCTTTTGTGGAAGGACCAGGCTTGGACGTTGGTTCTTATTTTTCTAAATTAAAAGAAAATGTTTATTTATTTAGTACAGCGTCTTGCTACAAAGCTCAGCCTCCCCAGTGCTGGAATTACAAGTGTGTGCCACCACGCCTGGTCTCGGTGGCCGGCGAGGCGTGTCCAGGGTTCCAGGGCCAGCATGGCCTCCTGTGGTGTTGGGGATCCAACCTGGGTCCTTGCATTTGCCAGGCAGGTGCTTAGACCGCCAAGCTATCTCCCCAGCCTATCAGTTCTTGAATGCAAGAAAAGTAGGCCTTGTCTCTTGGGTTTGTTGCTAGTGAGTTGGGTATTTTTCACTTTGACACTGGAAACAAAAATTTCACATATAAAACATGGATTGCACCCTAGATTTCCTGTGCTTGAATCACACAAATGGTAGGCTCGGGAGGGAATGTGCAGAGTAGGAGGCAGTAGGGTGGTGTTCTGGGGAGCTGACAAACTTCCCCTGGAATTGGTGGAGGCCGCTCCTGTGACGGGTTCGATTCCCAGAGGGACATGAAAGACATGGTGGGTGCAAATGAACCCGATGACATATAAATAAAAGGGGGCAAGATGCCCTTTGCAAGGACTTGCTGAGTAGCCTGTCATCCGTCCCACACCTACGATGTTCCCCGTGGGTAACAACTGGAGAAACAGAAGCTGAATGACAGGCAAATATTGCGCCTTTGGGGCTCAGTCCAGGTTCCTGATCACTTCTTGTCACACACGGTTCTTGTTTCTATAGTGAAATAAATTTGAACTTTTAATGCTTGAGAGCACAGTACATAAGAATTGTCAACATGTTAACCACCAATCAACCATTTTAGTAAGAAAAGCAGCAAGAAAATGTGCAGGTGTTCACCGACATGTCCAGAAATACGTAACATCACTTAAGGCAGGGTTGCTGGGAGTCGGGAGAAAGGCCTCAGTAAGCCGGGGAGGGCATTACTATAGTACTAAGTTTTTCTTTTTAAAAGTTTAAATTGGGGCCGGGGAGCTGGCTCAGTGGAATAAGCACTTGCCTGGCAAGCGCAGTGGCCTGAGTTCAATCCCCCGTTTTGCAAAAAAAAAAAAAAAAGTTTAAGTTGAAAATTTTACATTTATTTAAATTGATAATTATTACTCTTAACTGCTGTTTTTTTTTTTTTTTTTTAGAAAATGTGCTTAGTGGAGAAAATGTCATAACTCCACCATCTTTTTAAATTAAAAAATAAATGCATTAGGTATTGGGTGATTAGAACACAGAAAATCAGCTTCCTGGGTTAGCATTTATCATCATAAATTACCAGTTAGGCATGAAGTAAGAAGGCTTTTTTCTCTTTATATATAGTTACTGGGTAAGGTGAGGAAGAACTAAAATTGTGCTATGAGTATTTGTTTTTTCTAACTAGTCATAGTTCAAGCAATTAAAGGGTATCAGATGTGGTCACCTCTATATTTTTAAATTATTATTATTATTACTATTATTATTACACCAGGGATCAAGCTCAGGACCTTGGGCTTGCCAGGCAGGTGCTTATGCCGCTGAGCTGTCTCCCCAGCCCAACACAATATCTAATTTAGTATTTAAATAAACTAAAGCTGTGGCATTCAGTTTTACCATCCTGGAAAACATCCAAGGCTGCTGTCAGACACTGTATTGAGCAGGAAATGCCCTATGCCTGTGAGGACTGGCTTAGCCAGGAGGGCAGCACTGGACACACACACACACACACACACACACACACACACACACTTTGCAAGGAGAAGGGAAATGCAATTGTCCACCGGGTTTGTCCCTCTGCTTAGTCCCTTCCTCTAGCTGACACTGCCTTTGCACGAAGATGAGCTCAAGTGCCTGAAAGCTGGGCTGGGCCCTGTGTACGTGGGGCGGCCTCAACACTAGAGAAGGCCACCATCCTCCGCTTGTTCCTGACCATTGAAGCAAAGCCACACGGGCACAGGCAGGAACACTGTTCCCCATTCCTGGAGTGCCTCCATCTTCCCAGTGGGACAAGACCCAGCTCTAGTGGACACTAAGGACGTGGCTGCCCACTGTCCTCAGCTGCCCAAGGTGGGTGAGTTATTAGGTGGGTGCCAAGCCCAGTACTGCGATCCCACACTTGGTTCTGTTTCCATAAGGCCTCCTGGGATTTAATTTTCACCAAAGGAAACTTTATGGTCTAGTGCAACAGGTTTTTACTGAAACATAGAACCTAACAAAGCTTATTGTCATTGTTGCCCCTGAGACACCAATCTTACACCGTCGGTTTACAGGTAGAAGACTTTGACATGCAACAAATTTCAGTTATTTCATTTATGGGGGAAAAAATCCGTAAAGCTCTGGTGTTGTCCAACCTCTTATGTTAGGATTGGAGGGTCGTGTTAAGCCCCATCTCTTTTATTTCTGCTCTATAGCAGAGATAGTGTGAGCTTTATTTTAATTTGCATAATATTTAAAACGGGATGCTTGAAGGTAATTTTAAAAATAAACCAAACAGCACCACCCTGGTGGCTGTGGAATTTATGACATGAGTTTTTACATGCATCCTTATAAAAGAAGACAAAATTTGTTTGAGTGGTAGCTGACACTATTTCGTCCTGGCAGGAAGTTTATAGTTTACATATTGAACTCTTGGATAGCTGTTTGGCTAGGATGTCAGAATTTTTGTTTTCCTTTTTTTTTACTTCGCCAATGGAAAAGTAAAAATCAAATGACAATGTGAGGACGTTCTCTATGATGGTATGACAGATTTTTGAGTTTTGAGAAGAGCTGTTCTTTACCATACGCTTGTATGTTTCTGTCTTTTTAATCACAGAGTTTTTACTAGCATATAAAATCTCAAAGTCCAGGGGCTTCAGTGCTTCTCAAGTGTTTTTAAGACTTCATTTTACAAAGAGAAATTTTTATTCTGAAGCTGTATGCTGCTATTTATATACATATTTAAGGAAGTTCTTAGAGGCGAATATCTTTTTGGAAAGGAACTGTGATCTTTAAAAAATCCTAGTGCAGTTGCACACATTGAAATAAAAAAAAAATCAAATAAAGTTGTATCTTCTTATCTTATGTACATTTGGTCCTGTTTTCCTAATGTATGAGCATCACATTTGTTACTTATTCCGCTTTCTTTGAAGATAATCTTAGATTGCAAAAAAACTCACTTTCTTTTTTTTTGGCTGGCTCAGGTCACCTTAAGGGCTGGGCTTGTAAGGCATGTGGAGCTGGGAATCGAACCACGGTCCCCTGCGTCTGACTGGGTTTGCCCAAGCAGGCGCTTAACTGAGCTAACGCGCAAGTCCCAATAATTCACTTTTAATATTTTTTTAAAAAGTATTTATTTATTTATTTATTTGGAACAGAGTCTTGCTACATAGCTTGGATTCATAAGGATCCTGCTGTCTCAGTCCCCCCAGCACTAGGATTACAGGCATGCATACCACACCCGGTCTTGGTGGTTGGCTTGGTGGTTCAGGCCAGCACGGCCTGCAGTACCAGGGATCAGACCTGGGTCCTCGCATTTGCCAGGCAGGCGCTTAGTCTGCTGAGCTATCTCCAGCCACTTTTACTATTCTTATATGAAAATATCAAATGACAGAAAGATGAGATGATAGACATGGATCATTTTGAGAACACTCAGCTACTTCTCATTTTTTGCTTATATTAAGAGACTAATGCTAAATACTTCTCATTAAACATTCTGTTTTTGGAGAATTCCCATCTTATGTATGATTTGTGTATATACTTCACTCATCTTTAAGTAGAGTTTCAGATAATCAATGACATTGTCAATCCAAAGGCTTCCCTGTACTCCTGGGTTTAGAAATGTATATTAAAGCTTAAAAGAAAGTTTGCTTTTTAAAATTTGTAGAGATATTGTGATACATTTTTAAAGTAATCTTTAAGATCAAGGTTTGAAAGCTAGAAGGAAATGATCATGATTGGCGTTTCCATTGACTTCCGGCTTTTGAAGCGGAGAACACGCAGGCATAGGTACTGAGGCATGTCGGCTGTCAGTGGCATGCTGACCCCTGAGGGCAGAGGGATTGCAGTGTCTCAGAGCCATACAACCAGAAAGGCAGCACAGTGCTCAGCCTCAAAGAAGAGAAGGCATCCGTTTTACCTTGAGGAAAATACAAAGTTCACTTGTAACACACTTTTGTGAACAAAAAGGACCTCCAACAAAGGATGAAAAGAAATCCTTCAGCCTTTAAAAAGAAAGCAATCCTTTTCGTGGAAGAGAAAGACTACGCTGCAGGACTTTGCTGACAGAAATGAT